AATCAACTATCATCTTAGGTGGCAGCAGGACTGACACTGGAGCTCAGCCACAGTCAGGGCAGTGCCCCCTGAGGTCTCTGTGAAGATTTGTCATATGGGTTTTGTTCTTGAGAATGACATTAATTCAAATTAAAGACTCAGTCATGGTGGCTGAAAAAGAAAACCAGGGCTGCCCTGTAGAGTTCAGTAGAGTCATGACTGATCATGCCTTATGATTATTTTATACATATAGCATCAGTGACACCTTGTCTTCAGGTTCGGATTCTCTCACCTGATCTCTTGGTTCTTACATGTTCAGATGGTCCCATGTCGCATCATGAACCATCTGACGGTGAATTATCTGTTATAACTCCCACTGTGGGGAGTGTCAACAGGAGGTTAAACCTAGCTGGAAGATCTCATGAGGAACATCTACATTTTCACCACAGGATTCTCCCATTCAACGGTGAGAAGAATCCGAACCTGAAGACAAGGTGTCACTTGATGCTATATGTATAAAAATAATCATAAGGCATGATCAGTCATGACTCACTGAACTCTACAGGGCAGCCCTGGTTTTCTTTTTCAGCCACATGACTGAGTCTTAATTTGAATTTAATGTCATTCTCAAGAAACAAAACCCATATGACAAATCTTCACAGAGACCTCAGGGGCACTGCCTGACTGTGGCTGAGCTCACGTGTCAGGTCTGCTGCCACCTAGAATGATAGTTGATTTATATATTGTCAATCACAGTGACTCAAAAACACAATGTTCTATTTAATCAGGATCTGTGCCTGTTAACGCACAAAATAGTCACACTTCATCCACAGCTGCTTGACAATTTGTATCATCAAAGATCAATGAAAGAGTGATGCGGAGGCTCGCTCACCTTCCCCTTCAGGAATTAGTTTGTATATATCATTAACTGTAAAAACAAACACAAAAAGTTTTATATTGTGGTTCTAATTTAAGATATTTTATCATTTGAAGATTATATTTGAATGTACATTTTTATTACTGATTCAGATCCAATTAAAAAAGTTAGCGTAAGAGATGAAAACATGCAACGAGTTTGTTTCCAGTATTATAACTGCAGTTATTATGACAGTGATTGTTTGCATGATGCAGACTCAGCCCCGTCACGTCAGTATTTATGTGTTATTAAAATGTATTTGTGTAGTGAATGAGGTAAATTCAAATATAGGTTCAGCTATAACATAACCTAAGAATGAGTCATCGACATGTATTGATTGTCACTATGAAAATGGTAAAACAAACAAGTAAAATTACAAGACACATGTTGTAAAAATGCTTTTTTTTGTGTGTGTCTACACCGTGTCAGAAGAAGATCTGCATCCAGCAAAGGTCTGAGTGAAAATTAAACAAAAATAATAATAAAAAAAAAAGCTGTAAAAGATGGAATTTATGGTCAAAAAGGACAAAAAAGCAAAACATCCACAATGAACATGAGCTTCATCATATCGATTAAAGACTGAACATCTTGTTGTTCAGACCAGTTGCTCCAGTTGTTTTCAACAGGCCTTTTTGTCTTTAGGCTTTGGCTCATCTGCCTCAGCATGGACATTGCTGGCTGCGGTTGCCACAGGAACGCTGTCTGCTGCTCTCTGGGCCGGGGAGAGCTCCTCCTAGTGGACGGAGAGAGAGTTGGTGTTACGCCCTGAAAACACAGATCACATGATGGAGCTCGGCACGGAGAAGGTCTCACCTCATCTCGTTGCCCTCTGATGCTTTCACCGCCTCTGTATTTGTGCCTCTTCATGGTGTGAGCGATGAACCACACCACCAGAGATGATGAGGACACACCCGAGCAGAGCGCCGATCACTGCTCCAGCAATCACTCCGTCTCCCACCTCTGCACAAACCATACACCAGTACACAAGTTTTTATATCCATGAATGAAGCAGTTTTGTACTTTCTCTAAAACAAACAAAAAGAAATGAAATCATACCAGGACTCAGATCAACACTGGAATTGAAAAGCCCACCACATTGGTAGCATTGCACTGGTATTCCCCAAACTCAAACTGGGAAATGTTTCTGATTTCCAGTATTCCAGTTTTGGTTGCTGAGGAAACAAAGAGCACATACGTTTATAAATGGACAAATGTGATAATATTTACTAGTACATCACAAAACACACTTATATATATTATACAGCACTCACTTCTTCCCAGTACCGGCCTCCTGGTCTTAGTCTGGTCCAGTCGGGTCCAGGTGTACATAGGTTTCGGGCTTCCATGTTCACTGTGGCAGGTCAGAGTGACCAGGGGACCCGATTCAATGTCACCGTGGACGGCGCAGTAAGGATAGGACGCCTCTCTGACAGACCAGAGGGAAGATGTGAGGGTTTAGTCTTCTGAATCTACGTGATGTTATTGTGACTCATATGTTCACTCAGTGGAAATCAATGACATTTTGAATTGATCAGCTCTCCTGAGAGGTTTGTCATAGAATCTGTGTCATCAGAGTTTAATTTAAATTATGAGTCAGTTATAAAATACAAGTCCTCAGCTGTTTTCTATATATATCCTGATCCATGACAGTATGTGATGAGCCTTTGGAACAGATTATGTATAACACATTTATTATTATTACTATTATTATACTTTAATACAGTGGTTGGGTAAATAATCATTTAATTAAATGTGCTTAAAGTATCAAAAGAAAAGAAAATATGACTGATATTATTACACACTGATGTGTATATACACTATATATGTAAGCAGGATTTTACTGTTGCAGCTGGTTGAGATGGAGCTAGTTTTATACATAGTTAGGTAGCATTGTATTGATTCCAGTGTGATGGTTTACTTCTGTTCAGTGTCTATATCACAGTGATTCTTTTGGACAGCTCCTTCATTTTGTGCTGTTGTCACTGTTGGCTCAATGCCACACCTGGATGTACAGTAATCACAGTTTGCTATAATGAAAGATAAGATACTTTGTACTGAATATCATGACACTTTGTTTATTCCAAAGAGATTATAAAAGTCATATCAAACTAAAATAAATATCTGTGTGTGTCTTGTAACAAAGGATATTTGCAGTTTGAGTTTGTGGAAGTGGAAAATCTTTTTCCTATTGTTAAACAAACAGGACGTCACCTGTCTCTCCATTAGTCATCATGAGGCAGGAAGTGTGGGGGGTGCGGCCTCCGCTCCTGCGGTGAGACTGAATCCTTACCATATGTTTCATGGTGTCTGCCTCCTCATCATCAGGCTTTCAGTGTACTGATCGTACAGTTCAGCTACAACATCTTAATGACATAACTTCATATCTGATATCTATTGCTGCTCTGCTCACACACTTATTATTATCATTATTATAATTTATGATGGCCTCCTCACTCTTATTTAAACATTACCATAATCCTATGTAACTGTTAGTGAGGATGGAAATCATCTTTGATTGGGGGATAATCATATTCATACATATTCATACATATTCATACAGCTCCTCAGTCTGCATCACATTCAGTGAAACTCACCTGTAAACATTTTCATAAAGAGTTTAGATGTGTGGTTAGCATGCAGCAGCTGCTGATATATATTCTGTATGCAGTACAAGGATGCAGTCACAGTCCTAGTCTAATTTCCAACACTGACAATGAGGAGCCTGCTACAGTAACCATGGAAACTAGTGAGGATACCGAGGCCTGCGAGGTTGTCCTGGTAACTCGGTGAATGAGAGGATTCAAACTGAATGTAATTCCTGAATCACACTATTCAGGGACACTTTAATAAATTTGTAAATGTTGCTGCGCTGAAAGTAGACACAGAGCGACTCACACATGATTGAAATGAAAGGATTCTTTCTTCAGTTCAGTTTTACCTGCTGTAATTCAGACCGTG